TACCTACCTACCTACATATATAGGTATCAATTACAAAATGTATTACCGAATCATTTAGCATGTGTGTATTATGTAGCAATGTAGCATGATTGTAGAAGTCGTATTCTCCTAGCATTAATTATATAATATAAATACTTTATAGTATTATGACGTTTTCATATTAATCTCATAGTGTTAGTGTTTTCATCAGACCACTGACTACATTTTATACTGAACTATATATGCACCTTTAAAAGTTTAAACAAGATTTCGAATAATTTTTAAAACTGTTTGAAATCTTTAACATGTACTTAGTGTCATATTGAAAATACTAGTCATTTCAACTTWTAAAATATTTGCATAAATTAGCTCCATAAATWGYCTATGGTAGATTTTGACTTTTTTTGTTACTCTGTTTTTAGTRTAGTATGTAAGCCATAAAACACTATAAATTACAATAACTTCAAAAGTTTTCTAATACAATAACATACAATAATAAAATACTAAAATCAGAATTTAACTTTTAATTAGAAAAAATAATTTTTACCAGGACACACTTGGTAGACGAGTAGGCACCCAGTATTTATGCAAATATTTATGCATAATATTACAATTTGAAAATAAAGATAATGACTGTAATAACGTGCTCGTAAAATAATAAAAATAATATTTTTAATAATCTGATGTTATAGAACAACGCAGCGACTGACCCAGACGACCAGGACATGACGTGCCAAGAACTTTTGGCGATCAGTGGAGCCCTGTCAGCAGCTTTGCCCACCGGACAATCAGCCCTTACGTCGCTGCTGAAGGCGCTCGGCAAGACAGGGGGAGCCAGCGTGGCGACAATCGTGCAAAATGTGAATCGCACCGCCAACAACGCGAGTAACATCCACAACAACAACAACAACAACCACAGGAACAACAATAGGACGAAACGTCACGCACTCGTGAGTTAATAAAATAATATTACCAAAACCGATACAAAACGTTCCAAAACGGTTTWAGGCCGTGAATGGAAACGACATATTATCATAGTAATAATCATAATAATAATAATATCATCATGTTATATTTTTTTCGAATGTGTACTTATCATAATTATCTCCCCCTTCCCCCCTTACAATCATCATCGCCCTACATACAGATGGACAGACAATCGGACGGTGAACTGATGATGGACAATGACAATTTGGAGAGTAAAAACAAAGCATGCCTAACCGACGCGGTGGGTTGCCTGCAGATTTATTGTCTGGTGGGTTGTTCCCTGTTGAGAGAGTGTATAAAGCTCCTTGTCAACCACAGACGATTCCAGCAGTGCATTTTGCTAGCAATACTTATCAACACGCTCAGCATGGGCATAGAGTACCACAATCAGGTAAACGAGGAACAAAACGATTTACCTTGCCGTTATTATTTATTTCTTTTATTATTTTTATTTTTATATTTTTTTTATCTTCATCATTATACGTCATTACACCACACACATGTCGAAATACGAAATTAGTATAATTATCAATAATGATTATGGATAAATAAAAAAAAAAAAACGTAAACAATCGTGATACCCTAATTTTGACGTATAATGTTTAAGTAGTATTATTGATTAATTACTATATTTTTATTTATTTAATACGTACTTTTTTAATTTTTTAATTACCCGTATGTAATTACTAACAAAAAATTACATCATTCGATATTTTATTGTATAGAATATTATGCTCAATTAAAACAATTGTATTTTTTTTTTGTATATTTTATGCTTGATTATTTTTTGTTTTTATTTTACTTCAAAAGTAAATTCTTTTCAGACTATAATAATAGCAAGTTTAATTTTTTTCTGTTGTAATATCTTTTTTAATTAATTTCTTTGTTCTGTACTTATTATTTTAATAATTTAATTTAATATTAACAACTAAAAGTAGATGCATGAATGAAAAGTTGAAATCTAAATAAAAAAAAAGTAAAAAGAACGTTTAAAAATAAGTTTTAATAAATTATTCATTATTTATTTCCAGTGACATGATTAAGCATGTGAGATACTTATCATATTTAATGATATAAATCGCTAACTATAAAAACTTAAATGGTTTAATAATTGTTACTATTATAATAAGTGCATAGTGTAATGCTTAATAATTGTTAAAATCAGTAAAAACAACGTTTTTATGTATGCAAACTTCTTTCTAAATTTTTAGTGATATCTGAGCTTGACTGTAAATAATACTAGATATTAGATAATATTATTTACCATCTTTCTTGATTCTGATTTACTATATGAATAGCGTGTGTGTGTGAATATATATAATAATTATAATATTATATGCATAAAAAACGTATCATTGTATATATATATTGTCCATCATACCTTACCAAACGATCCAATAATATTTCATAAAAACTAATCTGAATTCGTTATAATGTCTACTTGAGGTGGGCCAGTCTACATAATAAGGTTTTTTATTTTTATTTTTTTATTTTTAGAAGAAAATATACAATCTATATCTTAGACATAATAAGACAAAGTATATGTGCGATAAGGGAAACAAACAATAKGGTGATTTASATAAATTTGAGGAAAGAAGCCACCCACTGATGACACTTTCGTCTTGGTTTATCATATTAGTGATTTAGTTATATGTTAGTATTTAAATTATGTTTATATTATATATATATATATATATTAAATATTTAGTTATATCTTATATGTTATTATTYAAAGTAATAAATCTCTGCACCATTTACGTTTAAGTCGCCTTGGAGGGCTATCTGGGATTGTGAAGGATGATAAGTTTTTAATGAGTGGATTTGAATGAGAAGATAGACAGTTATGAAATTTTTTATAAAAATGTTTAGCTTCGTCATAAATAGTATTTAAGTTACAATCTAAATGTAGGGTATGGTTTGATATGTATGGAGGGGCGTTAAATAATTTCCTTAAGGTCATATTTTGGAAAGCTTGAATCTTATTCGGGTTTGACTCTTTAGCATTTCCCCATAGCTGAAATCCGTATTTCTAAATGGGTTTTAATAAGGTTTTATACAAGAGAAATCTTATATTAATAGGGGTGGCTTTGTTACCGATTATTCTTAAGCATACGTAGCCGATTGTTTAGGGATAGTCTTTTTTCACGTATGTGTTGAGCCCAGGTTAAGCGTTGATCGAGTGTTAGACCAGGGTATTTTACTGAAGGTTATGAGGGAATAGGGATGCCATAAAGTAGTATCCTTGGGCAAGGTGCTTGTCTTAGTGTACTGATTTATTTTGATTTACCTACTTTAAATTTCTATTTGATATGCCATATTTCCATCATGCCTAGATGGGTTTGCGAATATGCGGAGGCCAAAGATGGGTCATCGTTAATCGAGATATCACTTTATCATCCGCGTAGTCCGCGACTGAAGTGTTTGGAGAAGTGGGTTGATCAGAGACAAAGATATTGTAGAGTAATGGAGATAAAATGCCACCTTGAGGAACTCCAGCATTTATACTTGCTATTTCAGACGTGGCAGTTCCATAGAGGTTTATGAGAGCCGCAGTGCTCGAATCGGGAAATTGAAAGAAGGGGAACTCAAGTAGAAATTCAAAAAACAGCGTTCTAACTAAACATTTATTGAGTACTAACCCGTGGGGGGCTTTTCCTCCCACACCCCAATAATTACTACCACAATATCACTATATTTTTATTAGTTTATACATTTTATTTCTCTAAATGTTAATATTTAAAAATAATAATAATGTATTGAATGAAATAAAATTCCCCAACACTTACGAGTTTATTTTATTTTTTGCAGTACCTATTTAATATATTTTATAAGATTGAATAAATACAAAATAAATATATTATTTAAAATTAAATWAATTAATTGGCATTTAATACCGCGTACGGCATACCGGCGTACCAATGGTTTCTTTTAGGAAAATGTAGTATGGGAACGCTATTTAAAATCAAAAGGTAGGTTARGAGCTGAGTTCCCATGCGTCCCCCCTCAATTCAAGCACTCTCATTGAGAGGGTAAGCGAGTACGTTGGTAAAGAGCTCGTGCTCTGCGTTTTTCAACTACGATGACTCTTAGCTGTTCTRGGATAGGATTGTATTTAGGTGGKGGTAAGTTTGTGTTTGTAGCAGACCAGGCAGCAGTTTGTATAATTTTCGTTAAATTATTCACTGCGGAATCAATATCATCAGGCGTTTTAAGTTTGATATTAAGTTTAATATTTTCATCAATAGATTCTTGGAATTTGTCAATATCAGTGAAACGGTTGAAGAGATAAAGAGGAGCTTGGTGCAACGTAGRAGAAGCATTAAGAGTAAATAGAACTGCTGAGTGATCAGAATTTAAGTCAAGAAGATTTGAAGCATGGCAGAGTATATGATTTGGTATTCTTGTTACAAAGATGCCCAGTATGTCTGGCTTTTTTTTTTGGGGGGGGGGGGGGAAGAGGGCCAGTATGTTGGCCCAGGAGGGCCAAATATTTTCAGTTTTTTGTATTTATAAAATTGTGCAGAGTGATACCACGGGGGTTATTTGTACGACAACCCCATGCTTGGTGCTTGACGTTATAATCGCCGCCGATAGTGAAATTGTTTTTGATTTTAATAAAGTACTCTGAGAACTTAGAAAATGTTATATTATGTTTTGAAGGAGCTTTTAGAGCARCTATGGTAAAATGGTTACTATTTAATTTTATGTTAATTGCACAAGACTGTATGAAGTCATGAGAAAAACTAGGAARGAGTTGGAAATAAATGATTGACTTAATATAAATAGCTACATCTCCGTGCGCCGTGTTGTCAGGATGGTTAGTATGGACTAATTTATAACCAGAAATGAAGATTTTAGTATATTTGGTGAAGTGGGTCTCAGTGATAAGTGCGATATCAATACGTTTATTATTTAAAAGTAATTCTAGTTCGTGAGCATRATTTTTTWACCGATTTGCATTAAATTGCAAAATTAAGAGAGAGCTGTTGGCGACAGAGTTGGAATTTTTATTATGAGAGTTAATCATTTTTTTTTGTCTAGAATATTGGAAATTACTTTAGTAAGTAATGATAAGAGCGGGCTTATGAGAGATTCCAATTTTTCTAAGAAGCTTGACAAGATTTTATTTACATCGGCTTCAGGAGATAGAGGAGTTGAGGGKTGTGGATGGGTATTGGATTGGTTTGATGTAGCATGAGCATAGGTTTTTGGTTGGTCAGAGTATATGTGTATGTTGRAAAAAGCGTAATTTTGTGGGTGGCTACATTGTACATTTGAAGACATATCTAGTATTATTAGCTACAATATTACTTTTTGAAGTTGGCTTTCTTTGACGTTGTAGATCTCTGTAGATTGAACAGCCTTTGTAATTTGCAAGATRGTTTTCAGAACAGAGTGCACATTTTGGTGGGGAGTTTCGTGGATTGGGACAGTCCGACGCCTGATGTTCAGCTCCGCAGCGTACGCAGCGAGGAAATAGCCACAATAAGCCCTTGTATGACCGTATTCTTGGCAATTTAAGCATTGACTGATTACTTTGGATTTGTAAGGTTCTTCAATTCTTATTTTTGTGTGATGGATGGAGAGATGATAAGTCAAAGATTTCTTTAGATTTGGGYGTAGGTTCTAAATCAACAAAGAAAAGCGGAAGAGGCTTTTTGGTTACTTTGTGAAGTACATTTGTTACTTGTCTAACTTCAAAGAGTCTGACTTCCAATTCTTCTTTGATAATTTTAATTGGCGTGGTAAAGTGTAAGTTACGTATAACTATTCTTAAATGTTTATCCTCTCTGAGTTGATAAGTGTGATATTCCGTTTCTTCCTCTTTAAGAAAATGAATTAGAGCTCTGTATGATTCCGGGTTTGAAGTTTGTATTTTTATTTTGTTAGTAGACGATTTACAAAAAAAAGTAGTCAACACCAATTAATTCGATTAAACTAGCGCACATCTCAGGGAAATCCTCAACATATTTTACGAAAATTGGAGGAGRTGGTTTGTTTTGGACATTAGCAATTAGTATCGATGTCAATTTGCTCTGCAAGGAGAGTGGAKGCGAGAACGAGAACAGACGATAGCATGCGCAAATATTTAGGCTTACCTTGACGAGCYGCGGCCGCGGCGGCCAAGATAGAAGCAACGTAGATTAAGCCAGACGTTTTTGGTGTGTAATAACAATAATTAATGAAAATAGTTTAATTATTAAGCCAAAGAGTAAATTATTCTTACGAATTATTCACTATACTAAAAAGCGTAATGTAAAACTGATTTTGAAACAGTTAACAAACAAATAAAGAATTGAATATTGATTGTAAACGTACATATCACATAGCTAATGGTGTTAGAGATAAAACAGTTAATTAGTGAGTTAATTAATTAGGAGCGCAAAACGCGTGCGTATCGAACGACTGCTATCACGAGACTGGTTTTTTATTTAAATTCCAAATAACCAACGTTTGAAAATTCCGAAATTTAAAAATATTCAAACCAAATTTATAGCTATAAGTACGGGTTAAATTGTTAAAATTGGACTGACCGACCTCAAGTAGATAACTATWATAATAATAAATTCAAAACARTTTTAAAAATTATTATAGCATCCATAGACCGTTCAGTATAATGGGAAGAAGATTGGTATGTTTTGGTTMAGATAACTGTCCACCAACGATCCCTTTGATAATAGTAGTAATACAATATAAGATACTATTCTAGTTAGCAATCAAGTGGAATACGCTTAAAGTAACCATATTGAGTAAAATAAAATTATTTTTCACTTTTGGTTGGTATCGTCGAGAATTCTCTTGTCGTGAACATAAGAGWCYGAACATTATTTCATTACAAATTTTCAGCGTGTTACTCCACGTAAAGAAATTTTGCTTCAAAAAATATTATGTGATTAAAATAATGTTATATTACTTGCGAGTTAGAAAATAAGTTAGTAATAATACAAGCAATGATGATGATAGGCAGAATAATGTCCTGTAATGTATCATAACATAATATGTCTACTAACAAAACGCCGTCATACAAATATTATGATAACTTATAATATCTGGACTACAATAACTGTTGGCAAAAGTAATTTCACCACTAATAGGTATATTATGTTTTATTAAAATGTGTTTTTAGCCTATGGAGCTCACTGTAATTGTGGAATATAGCAATATTGTTTTTTCTGCGATATTTGCCGCTGAGATGTTTTTGAAGGTAATCGCCGAGGGGCCATGCGGCTACGTCAGTAATGGATTCAACGTATTTGATGGAATCATTGTCATATTAAGGTATATTTACARTTCATTAATTCTTTTCAAAAACAATAATAATAGTAATAAATAACAATGTTCATAAATACATCGAAACGTTATAAGATTAATAGAACTCAATGTCGATTAGTTGTACAGTGTTCATATTCTTAAAAAAATAACAATGAACAAACCGAACTCGTTGTCGCRGAAGAAATATTATGAAGATAATAATTCCAATAATGCCCCACATAGGTTTCATTATAATCCTTATCTTTCGATGAAAATAATGACTTTTATTCACGTGTCAAAAATCAAAGTTGTCGAGATACACCTTACAGATTGTAATTATTATTTTCGTTGTTCATAATTTTCATCCGATTATCTTTTTTCTATATCACTGCATTCAATATTTCTCTTTCATTTATATCATACACATTTCACATAAATTTCGAATAAATTTCGAATAATTCAATTGATGTATGGTAAAATTTGTTAKATCTAGTAGAAAAATAGCTGACACTCGACTTGGTATTGTTTTATCAGAAAAAAATCAGTTTTATAATTCCATCTGTCTATTTAAAAATTACCTGTTTTATTTACTACTGTCATTGCATATTTCTTTCTTTTTTTTTTAGTTAGCTTTATTTAAAAAATAAGTTTAGGGTTAAGACTTTAAGACTTTTAGAATAAATAACTCCAAATACTTTTTTTTTTTTTAACAAAGCACGAGAAAATTATCCAGTTTAAAAATAAACTCAAAATATAAACCCATATTAAAATGATCGTTGTTTATTTAACAGTATTAATATAAATATWTTTTTTTTCTGCAGTTAATACTATTCGACACCAAACCGATATAAAGGAAAATGCTAAATATTTAGTTTAAACCGTTTTGTTTTTAGTATAGTGGAATTGACGCAGTCGTTTGAGAACACTAGTGGACAACGAGAAGGAAATTCAGGACTAAGTGTGCTGAGAACATTTAGGCTATTAAGAATATTGAAACTCGTTCGATTTATGCCAAACCTACGTCGTCAATTGTTCGTCATGCTCCGTACCATGGATAATGTTGCAGTGTTTTTTTCACTTCTAATTTTGTTTATCTTCATATTCAGGTAAAACAATTAATCAATTGACAACATTTTTTATTTGCTACTTATCAAGTTTGTTGATTTAATAATRCGTAATATGTCATGCATATTGATTGGTTTCGTTTATTAACTACACATTTTTCATTTTAAAATTAAAAATATTACAAACACAAAATAAACCGTACCTTTAATTGCTGAATATTATGGGATTAACTCCAAAAAATTGATGGGGTCATTAAAATTATATATTCATATATTATACCAGTTTCGTTGAATTGAGAAGGCGCCGCTGACGATGACGATTAAGTCTAAACAGCGAAATAAACACAAGCAATATTTTGTTTACGGTGCATTAGCTACTTTCTTGCTGAAACATGTTTATCGGTCCACCAAAGACTTAACACAATTTGATTATAAAAGTCCGAAAATTAACTGTGGGTCGGATTTCCGCAGTGACAGAGGTCGAAACAAAACATCACTATACTACTACTACTACTACTACAGGGCAGTTTGTTATTTTTGTCTCGACAAAATCCCTCGTCAAATTCAATTTGTCAGTAGCACATTGTTATCTCACTACGCTCGCTATACTCTCTACACAATCATGGCAGTGTCTAGTGGAAGGGTGGAGGTGACCATTTCATATATATTTATTTATCACGCACAGTCTCTTACCCGTGGGACAATTTTCACAGCGAGACACTGAGACAGAGATAGAAGCAAAAGGAAAAGAGTGAAACTGAAAGAGAGAGAGAGAACGATGGGGACGGGTAAAGCGAACCATCTTGTTGTCCTATAAGCAGTTGCAGACGGTGTGCGGCCAAGTTTTTTCCCCCGTTATTTCTCAACATTGTTTTTTGACATGATATTGTGAGACACGCGACGGCTGTGGCGATTTTTGTTTGTGCCATTCGAGCAAGATACGTTCACAGATAGTAAGTTTTATGTATTTTATAACACTATACATATATACATATTATAATATTATGAGCGCATCGTATTTCAAAAGCGAAACTTTCAAGAGAATACCGCCACCGGCGTGCGTTCCATCGAGCTTTCACAATGCCTATTTAATGATGCTGCTGCCATTTTGTTATTGCGGTTTATCATTACCGCGAAACAATAAACTGAGACACACTCAAATATGTCATATGCCTAATCCAATTTTCGCAAAGCGCTTTTCGTCGTGTCATTGTACACACTCACGCCCACACACAACAGATACAATTCATATTACGATACCACTATACGGGCTTCTAAAGATATGTGCGAAGACACGTCAAAACAAGTTACTACCGTTTTGACAGTGGCATATAAGATATCTAAACGAAATTATATTATACATAATGATTCGCCAAGAATATGCTCACCTGCATTTTATCCTTTAATTTTTTCAATTTTAGTTTATGAAGTTTTTAAACAAACTTAAGACCATAATACAATATTCTAAAATTATAAGATTTTTTTATTCCAATTAATGAGTGTTATATAAAACGGTATACGCTTCTATTTCAAACGAGATTCAAATTTTTTACAGTAAATTTATATGCAAGTACAAGTACATACGTTTTTTAAATCAAGATTTACGCATTTTATAAGTGTATCAACATCAGGCCATAATATTATTTTAAAATTATAAGATTTTCGTACGCCATTTAATCAGTGTTTTAAAGTGATAGATACTTATTTTTTTCAATCGAGAACTTAATAATATTTTACTGTAAATAGGTTATACGGGTGAATTCTTCATTTTTTAAAAACCACAACGTTTCTAAATCTGAATTTGATCCAGGACTTGAATAAATATAATAAATAAAAATTAATATGGTAGTGTGAGCATGCTATTGTCGAATCATTTATATTTATATAACACAATCATGAATGACACCGTGAATTGTGATGCGTATGCATAGAAAACTTATTTGTWTTTTATTGCTCGTGTAAGRTTTTTAAAAACAATAATAGWAAAACCAATCAATAAGTGATGACAAAGTCACTGTTAGGCGTTATTCACTTATGTTTTACATAAAGTTTTATGTTAACGATCTATGCATTTGTATTTTCGCTCTTATTTTTAATTTCATTGAAAAAAAGAATCGCGTGCGTGAAATAATACACAACAACTAAATCAAACGAAAAACAAGATTCATTTATTGTTTCATGTTTATAATGTACTTTCATTTATAAATCAATGAGGTAAAAAATATGTCGATACTATTTTAAATATTGAATTGATGCCCGACGAGTCTATAAATATCKAAACATTTCTAATTGATTAAATTTTTTTCACAATGTTTATTTAATTGTTAATATTTCATTTGATCATGAGTTTTTTTTTCAACATTTGAATAAATAATAAAAAATCGCTATATTTTTCGTGCAAATCGATAAACATGACCATCATTAAAAAATGTTAACAAAATTTGTTTTGATCAATACATTCAAACTTGGGAAAATGAAATACAATGACACATATATGAATTTACTGTAAATAACAGAATTTATAGGGATAAAACTATCATTTAACTTCAGTTATTCAGTTTCTGTAAATTTAGTATATTATTTAGGATGTGAAGCACAAAAATAAATAAATTGATTGATATCGAATATGCGTATGATTAAAAGCAATAAGATACGACAAGATTAATACATTTTACAGCTACATTGAATTAATGCTCATACTACAAAACATACAAAACTTACAAAATTGTATTTATTGACTTCCTTCTGTTAATTATTTTTTTGAAACATAATAACCTATGTTGAATTACACTTTTTGCGTAGAATCAATTCGCAATTTATTTTTTATTTTATTATATTTTTTTTGCATAAAAAACAAATGATAATTTTCTATATTTTAATTATTCATCACTAGTTTAAGAACATTTTTTTTCATAATTATCATTCTTATTCATAATTTAATAATTAAAATAAAATAAGACAAGTCCATTATTTGTGATATGAATTTTAATAAGTACCTAATATAAAATATTTATACATACTCGTACATACAAATCAATTTGTAAATTACTTAATATTAATGTAATTATTAACATAGAATATAATTACCACAAATATAATATTTATGTAAGTAAACATATTTAATTATCGACTATGTATTATGTACATATTCTATATACATACTTTTTTTTTTATTTAAAATTAAAAATGTGTAGCCTTCCTCACCAATAATATAACTAAATCATCAGATAAAATATACTTTTAATTATTTACAAAGTAAATTAGGCACCTAATAAAAAAATAAATAATCTATTTTCGATGAATTAATTTATTATTTAATATCATATTCACGTATTACCAATAACTCTACTCTTGTTATAGATAGGTACATAAATATACTTCTGCTAATGTTTTGCGATATATAAATTTAAGATTTCTGTTTTCTAATCATAAATATTGTTGTCTAATCATTAAAAAATATCCTTTTAAACCCTTATTGTGGTAAGAAATACCTTAGGAAATCACCTAAAATAACTATCAGAAATTTAAATTAAGAACTCTAATTAAATGCTAAGATTTGAGTTGTCCTTTTTAGCTTTTCTCATTTCATTCAGTAGAACTGAATTCAATTACATTTCAATGGAGAATTCAACAACTTCGAAATCACAATAAACTCAATAGTCAACTAAAATGTAAATTGATTAATGTTTGTTCAATCAGAAATCAATGCTGTAGTACTTGTTGAAGGTTAGTAGGTTTAGTCCCGTTGGTATTGGGATTAATCTCAACTTGTAAACCGCCTTTGTACTCATTTCCTTTAATTCAGACTTCTTCTCTTCAAAAAAAAAAAAAAAATTAAATCGATATAAACTTTTTCAGTTATAATATATAATTATATCTTGTTAAAGAAAAATAGTAAAGGTTTTTCATGATTATTATAATATGCTTGTTTACAATATATTATTATGTGTAATATACTTATCAAATAAGTTTAATACGTATAGCTACAAACACTATACATTTTTAAGCTCAAAAATCATTCGTTTTTAACATTTATTTATTTAAATTACTTAAAACAATTATTGTTTTATTAGATGCACTTTTATAGGTAACTGAAGTTTTTTCTAAGATAGGTATCAACAATCAATTTTTGAAGGAACAGTAAGCAAAATAAATATGTTAAATACGTTTTTTTTAGTATACAAAAAAATAAAATTATGCCATATGAGTAGAGAAACAAGACTATCCAAAAATAGAAACCGATATGTTTTCTCTCTTGTTGATTCAAGCGCACCCACTATTGTACAGGTTTTATGACGACGCGCTTTTTTATATAGCTAAAAAAAATGTATCGATCTTGAACTTTGAGTGTTATTTATATAGTAAAATTTGATTTAATTGGTACCTATAAAGAGGGGGGGGGGTAATATGATCTAACTACAAATAAGAATTTCAACAAAAGTCGTTAATAATCGCAGAAGTTTAATAATTATTTTGTACTTAAGCTTCATTATTTTTAATAATTGCTGTTAGTAAATTAATTGTTTATAATTCAAATGTAGATGACCTTTAATACTTAAAGGAACACTGAACGCCTACTATACTACAGCAGAGAGATTTCTCTGAGTTTTTTTAATTTATCAGTAGACTTCCGGCACCGACTTTTCATTATTTTCATAATGATTTCTATTTTTTATTAAACTTAAAACAAAAAAAGTAAAATAAAAATGTTGATTATATCTTTATAGGTATAATATAGAATTTAAGTTGTTGGCATAATTTTACACGAAATAACACTACCTACGCAGTTCCATACATTTAATATCCTAACGTTTTCATGATAAATATTATCATCTAGATTAGATACAATGAGCGAAAATCAATATAATATTTTTAAATGTTAAACTGTTGTCTTTCAAGTGGTATTAGAATTATTTTGCATTAAACTTAACCAAACAAAGAGATAAAATCTGTTTTGTCTCATGTCTGCGTGAACACAATAAAGTTTAGTGTATACAGCATACAGTTGAAATTGCATACTAAGCTTCCATAGTATTGCAGTAATGTCCTATCATGGAAACAACTGAATACATATTGTATACATATTTAATTAACCGTTATGAATTCAGATTAGAATTAACAATTAATATTTTTGTAGTATACTGGGCATGAACTTATTCGGATGTAAATTCTGTAGCCGAAAGAATGATGGAACAGGGGATGATGTAGCGTGCGACCGAAAGAATTTTGACTCATTGTTGTGGGCGTTAGTCACTGTGTTTCAGGTATCTGAAAAGATTTCCGGTTATATAAATTGTATGAAATCTTTCTCTCAAGTTTTCTTGTTTTCCTGGTAAAATCGCAGCACGCGACATAGAAACATTTTTACAGTAACCCCGTTTGTGCAAATAAAATTTAAAGGGGAAATATTATTAATTTCCCGTGTAAATGAAACACGAATGTTTTATTTCGGTGATTGAATATTCTGAATTTAAATGGTGAAATACAAATAATGAAACGTGGTTACCGAATATCCAAAATACAACATTTCAAAAATAAACATCGCACAAAAAATTATTATTTTATTATTATTATTATTAATATATTTGTGCCTTGTCCGTTTTTAATTTATACTGAAAGAGTAAATACGTAAGATAAAATAAAATTTCTAATTATTTTCAACGACAAGCATATAAAAAACATTAGGTATTAAAAAAAAATCCATTATCAGATGGCAGTGTCAAGCATGGCATTAAGAATTCATTCAATTACAGTATAACATTCTGTTAATATTATTATAAAATGCTCTGCAAAACATTAAACAAATATAATATACAGGGTGTCCCAAAGAGATCTGACATTCTGACAAATGAAATAACTTTTTTTCTAATCAATATTTTTTAAAAATTTCTTTTAAATATAATCCATAGACACTTACGCTACATTTTTTATTTTTTATTGCTGAAAATAAAAACTTAAAAATTGATAAATTTTTTTTTCGAAATATTCAATATAGC